CCCAACCTTTTGGGCACCAGGGACCGTTTACATGGCGAGAGGTTTTTCCACGGACCGGTGGGGGGCGTGGTTTTGTGTGCTGCCTGTATCCCGCGGATGGGGCTTTGCTTGTTTGTGTGGCCCGGTTGCTGGCATGCCGCGGCCTGGTACCGGTCCACAGACCGGGGATTGGGGACCCCTGGTTTACCAGAGTCAGCATATTACCCCCAACAATTTGGGTCCTCGTTTTACTGACCTTGGAAGGATGGAAGGCTGAGTCAACTTTGAGCCAGTGAGAATCGGAACTGCTGGCAGTTGGCAGAATTAGCCTGCAATTCTGTATTCTGTATTTGATTGGGTTTTGTTAGGGGTTTTATATTTTAGAGCAGGCTTTTATGTAATATTTACTGTGATTTTTATTATTGCCTGTTCACCGCCCTGAGTCCCGTAAGGGAGATAGGGCGGTATATAAATTTTAAAAATAAATAAATAAATAAATAAATAAATAAATAACCAACTAACCAACTAACCAACTAACCAACTAACTAACTAACCACTGCATCACCACAGCTCAGTGTTTGGGAAGGAAGCATAGTTCCTCCCCCCCTTTTTTTTCCTGAAAAACGGAGTGTGCAGCATGTAAGAAGCAAGGCTGCAATTGATTGGGAGAGTCAGCAAATGTCATCTTTATAAGCTGTGTTACATACCCATAGTACATTGGTACCTGAGTACTCATTGTTAATTGGTTTTGGGAGGTGCAATGAGTACCAAAAACGATGAGTACCAAACAAATTATTCCCATAATAATATAGTGAATTACAAGGCAGTCGACACCGGTAAGTTCTAGCTTATTTGTTGAGTACCAAGCAAATGATGGGTACCGAAACAAATTTTTCCCATCAAAATGTCTTTGAGAACCAAATTCAATGAGTTTCAAAGCAGTTGAAACATATTTTACAGGAACCGCTGTAAACTCATTTGCAATGGGGAGTTAAGTGTGCGAGCTGGCTTGAAAACCTTTGGGGCTGGGTGTTTGTTTGATCACGTGGTATTTAACTACTTTATTAAAAAAAATATATAAAACAGGAAGATTAGAAGCTAACAAAACCAAATGGCTAGAGAAAGAAAGAAATAGAAAACGAAGTGCAAAAAAGTAAAAACTGTCGGAAGAAGCAAAAATGTACAAGAAAAATGACGTGTGTGTGTTTCAAAGTGTTGTAGGGCAGGGGTCCTCAACCTTGGCAACTTTAAGACTTGTGGACTTCAACTCTCAGAATTCCTCAGCCAGCTTTGCTGGCTGAGGAATTCTGGGAGTTGAAGTCCACAAGTCTTAAAGTTGCCACGGTTGAGGACCCCTGTTGTAGGGGATTTAGCACGATGCAGTTTTAGTTGCTGTTTGACTCACAGTGAAGGACACCTTGAGAATGTTGTTGTAACAGCGCTGTTTCCTTTTCCCTCACTAGGTGCGGGGACGAAATTGTGGCTGTCAACGGAGTGTGTGCGGTGGGAATGAGCAACAGTGAGCTAATTCCAATGCTGAAGGAACAACGGAATAAAGTGACTCTAACGGTGGTCTCCTGGCCTGGCAGCCTCATCTAAGGGGCCACTTGTAACAGGATGCTTAATTGGGGGGAGCTTTTCACTGGAGCGAACCAATCCACCAACCGATGAACGGCTGAGCAGGTCTCAGAGGAGGCTTCCTCCAAGGTGCAGATTTTTTCTTTTGGAAAAGACAAATGTAGCTTGTTGTTGTTGCCGAGGGTGATTTTAGATCCATCCACTCAGTAAGTGAAAAGCTGTCCTCTGATCAGCTGTTGGAGGTGCATCGTGGTTAGGGTTATTTTTTTTTGTTGAACGGGGAAACTCTGAGCCACCGCCTGCTTCTCCCGAATTCTTCTTCTTAAAACCTGCTGAACTGAAGGACAGCAAGCTGAAACTCAAGTGATTGATGGCCGTAATCTTGGCTCTTAAGTGAACTGAAGTCGCAACCTTCAAGATAACTGACTAATAATTGCAACGGGTGAATCATTTAGATCTGTCTCACTGTGCCTTGCAGAGTAGGAGGCATGGGAATGCTGGGCCCTTGTTGAGGTCTGTTTATGCCTCTTGCTCAATCTGATTGTTCTGCCTTGAGACAGTCTCCGAGTTATGTAACGTGTCACAGCCTCGTTCTTGCTTTCAAGATCTGGAAGCCCAACGGAAGGATGTTCCTACTCAACTGAGCCCCTTTCCAGGGTTTCTCTCTCCTGTCACTTTATTTCCCGTGTTAAGAGGGGATATGAACGACCTCCGGAAGAGCTCTTCATTCTGGAGGAAGGCCACGAAAAGGCAGACTTTGGCCATTTGATATACATTAAATAGAGGCCCACTGTGACTCTGCAGACAAGGGGGGGCTTTTCAAATGGGGCCAGCTGCCCAATTTCCCCCCAGTGTCTTGAGGAAGAATTCTCTTCCAGCTCATTTCCATCCCAGCAAGCTCCTTAGGACCCCAATCCTGGTTGAGTTAACTTCTGATCACAGCAGCCAAAGGCAACACTTAGGAGGAAATCAAGCCATCTACCCACGCTGTCCTTTCAAGTGCATTCTCCCTCTGCAGGGATCAAGTTGCAGACCTTCAGCGGTCTTTTCTCTCGGCGGTTTACTGGGAAAAGAAGGAGATGAGCAGGTGTTCAGCATATCAACCTTGCCCGCTCGGAAAAAAAGCAACCAGAAGCCAACTCCCTGTGTTGTTTTTCCTTTGATCTGATCCCTGCAGTGTTCGTTTGTTTCTTTGTTTAGATCGGTCATATCCCTTAATTAATTGAGCATCCTTGTGATTGCTTAACAAGTATGCTTAACAATCTTAACAGGATCGCCTAACAAGTATGTCCTCTTGTCCGTGGCAGAGACTTTGACAGTTGCACACCAAATTTTTAAAAAAAGGAATAAGCAGCCCGCCCTACAGGAAGGTAGCAAGAGCTGTTCCCAAAGAAGGCGTTTGCTATGTGTTCTTGCACATGCTGACACTTGAACATAGAAATTATCTTTTTGTAAAAGTAGTCTCTTTTTCCTTAAATAGCCGTCATAATTATTTTCTAAGCATAGGATACACTACATTTATTTCACCGGTTTGAGGACCTGCTTTCTGTTGTCCGTGATCTACAACGTTTCATGATTTACAAAGTGATTCCACCAGCCCCGTTTGCAAATATTTTGTGGTTGTGGAATAAGTTAGAGAATTTATTAGTTTTGTCGTAATTAGGAAATTAAATAGGGCCTGCTACCTCCACTTAAAAGGGATTTCTCAGACCTTGATTTGCACAGAAAGTTTAAGTTGCTGAAACACGGCAACCGTCTACTACGGGGGTCTCCAACCGTGGCAACTTGAAGACTTATGGACTTCAACTTCCAGAATTCCCCAGCCAGCATGGCTAGATGAGGAATTCTGGGAGTAGAAATACACAAGTCTTGAAGTTGCCTCGGTTGGAGGCCCTTGCTGTACAATGTGCTTCTCTCACTTGCTCACAAGATGGGTGGGTGGGAGGTACACACATCTCAGGAAACAACTTGCAAGGGGATTCTGCTTCCCTCAGGAACATGGGACCTCCACTTCCTGGAAGTTCAGGTGTGTCTTTCAGTTGGATCCTTATTTCAACTGAAGAGCAAGTCAGGCTGACGGAAACACAGGGCTTAATATTCACACAGGCTGCGTGAAATAGCAAATAAAAAAGAACTTAGGGTTTATGTTTAAATCTGATTCACGCTTGGACTCTGTTGCCTCATTTGAATCTGGCAAGTAGGTACTAGTGCTCCATTTAAGGAGGTTGATTCACTTAAAAATGTATTTGTCGAAGTATATTTCTGAAAGTCAGCATCTGCACTCAGATGTGCTTTCAAAGGATATTGGTCTGCCTAATTGACTGGTAAGAATATTGACTTCTGTCTTCGAGTTTGAATCCTGTGTGACCACTGTTAATGTGTGACTCTTGCAATGGCTGTAAAACGGATGTCAAACTTTTTTTTTTTTTTCAAATGAAGGGGATGTGCATTTTCATTTCATTGTATTGTCTGATTTCAATGTGCCTTCAACAATCAGCAGGAAATCTAGTAGCTACTGTATTATTTTGCACCAAAGAATTTGTTGAAATGTATAGAGATGTTTGTCACTGCTCTGATACATTTATAAATTATTCTGAAGTTACTGAAGACGTTTAGGTTTTCTGTTCGGACCAGATCAACTTCCACAGACTTCTTTCATTTTTCCTTGTGATAAGCGGCACGCTATCTTTCTATTATGCAGGCAGTTCTGACCTCCTGCAAGCTTGAGGTATATTCTTACCTTAGTTGTGGCGTCTGGAAGATCATATCCCTTCCTAGCTCTAAGCATCTGAAATATTCCATGAATGTAAAGCACCGTGGCTTCCCCTCCTCAGTGCTTGTTTAACAAGATATTTTAAGTTGCTATTCAGTTTGGAAGGAGAAGGCAGAGTTAGGCCAGCCCTTCTCTTTCGAAGTGATGAGATGAGGAGTTTTTAATCTTGCAAAACATTTGAATGGACAAAGATAGATTGGGTCCTTAACAACATTCCTATTAAAACATTATGGTAGCTTTTATCAGCCATAAAGGTAAAACACTTAAGAACCATTACACTTTATAAATAGTCCTCTTTGAAGGTGGCACAGTCGTTGAGACAACCAAGTTGCTGAAGGTTTTCTTCTTTTTTTAACAAAATGCTCTTTAAAAAACAACGAACCTTGTATGGAGAGCCTGTAATCTGTTTTGGCTATTCTGCAGTTTCATTTCCATGGTTATACAGCCTGTCTAGAACGGTGTTTCTCACTCTCAGCAACTTAAAAAGATACGCAGATTTCAACTCCCAGAATTCCCCAGCCAGCATGGCCATTGCAAAGGATTCTGGGAGTTGAAGTCCACACATAAACAGTACTCTGCAGCAGTGTTTCTCAACCTTGGCGACTGGATGATGTGAGGACCAACTTCCAGAATTGGCCCCCACGCGATAGCAGTATTCCAGTATTTGAGGGGCTGCCACAAAGAGGAGGGGGTCAACCTATTTCCCAAAGCACCAGAAGGCAGGACAAGAAACGATGGATGGAAACTAATCAAGGAGAGAAGCAACCTGGAATTGTTGGGTGGCCCATCACTGGAGGCTTTGTCTCAAAATGTATAGGGTCTCCTGCTTGAGCAGAGGGTTGGACTAGAAGACCTCCAAGGTCCCTTCCAACTCTATTCTGATTCTGACTGATTTTCAAGTTGCCACGGTTGAGAAACACTTCTCTAGAACTTTTTTTGTCCTTCTGAAGACACCGTTAGTCTGTATCATCTGAGACACTTAAGAACACACGACTTCCATGTAACAAACAAACAAAACAGCCAGCAAGCTTCTATGAATTAAGTTTGCAGTGTAAAATTTAGTATTAAGTGGTGCTTTCGCTGAGTCCTAGATGCCATGACCACACAGAAACCAATCACATTTTCCAAAAAAAAAAAATTCTTTCCTACGTATTTTCTGTTACTGACCCATTCACTGCACCATCATAGCATACAAATCAAAATACAATGGGTATACTGGCTCACGTGTCCGAGGTTGTTAGTTTCATATAAACACTCAAACTCGCATAACTACAATACAAAATAAGTATAAATTTGAAATGATTTTTTTTAGGAAAAGTGTTTTTAAACTTTTCCCACGGGCGGAAGATAACGCAAGGATGGATGTGCGCAAAAGAGCGATGTCTTTTAAGAGTCTCTCACGTATTCTTTTCCAACGGAAACCACGAATCCTATGCCTACATTTAGTGTTTTAAGAGCTGTGAAAAGTGACTCAAGAGACGTACATTTTTAAACTTTGTCTGGGTAAAAAAAGAGAGAGAAGGGGCTCTTGAGAGCCACAGCAAGTAGCTTGGGTCAAACTACTTAAGGCCAACTTTGAAAGGGTGGCCCTATTGAAATTCACCACGAAACCCACTCAACTTGGTCATAATAAAACTCTCCGATCTGGAAGGCTCCAGAAGGAAGGCTAGGTAGAAATGGCCTTCTCGGAAAAACTGGACGTTTCACGGGGCAGAACTGTTCCACTGGCTGACTTGTGATTTCCCGTCAAGCTTTCCTTGAGTGAAGTCCAAAGTTCAAAGCTACAATTAAGGAGCAATGGAGAAATGGGACTAGCTTATAGGAGCCAGATTGCCTGGCAAGGAAGGAGGGTGATCCCTAACACTTGTTTCTTCTTGTACCAAAACAGTTCCTCCATGTGGTTGCTGTCCTGCTTCTTTAAAAAAAAGGAAACCGTAATAATGACCAAATATTGTCCTAGTCTTCTAAATGCATTCATTCCTGCTGAAGCGGACTCCCATCAGAAGCCATAGGATCTGACACCGTGGAGTTGGCCTGCATATATGTAGAACCACTCGAGGCCAGAGGGGCTGGATTGGGTCCTCTCCTCAAAGTCCTGCAGTTTGGCTTTCCGTGTTGGCAACCCAGCCTGTGTTCATGTTTGGGCGCCTCTGTCGTCGCAGGCCTTCCCCCAGGAAGGTCGCCCAAAATGGAAGCGTTGGCTGGATGACGCTTGGCTGCAGGGTCCAAATGTGCTACTCCTTGGCATCCTGTTCGTTTCCTTCTGCAAGTCCATCCTCGCTCGCCTCCTTCTCTTTGCTGCGCTTGTTCTTTTTGTGCTTGTGTCGACGGTGGCTCTCCCCTTCTTCGCTCTCGTGCTGCTTGCTGGTGGGGGGGTGGGAAAGAAACACAGCATGAAGCTCTTAACGATAGATATGTGACAGGGTTCAACCTGGGTCAGTCACTGGAAACGGAGGTTTAGTCTTCCGAGCGTTTGGACTTGTGCTGGAGTCCATTCTCAGGGAACTTCTCTCTCTCTCTCCAGAATGTTCTTACCAAATTCTGGTGTGAGATAAGAGAAGTTCCCCCAGGATGGGCTCCAGCACAAGTCCAAAAGCTCGCAAGACTAAAACCTCTGGTCCTGGGGACCGACCCAGATTGGATTCCGCAACATTACCCTGGGACGCGTATATCTGCCTTCATTCGTGAAGGCTGTTGAAGCTGAGCTTTTTTAAGCCCTAACCCAGAAGATAACATTTCTTTAAAGAGATTCCACAGTATATTTGAATTCAGTAGCTCAATGGGATAGGCAAGAAAAGTATTGCAGTCTATGAAAAGAACAGAAGTAAATAGACGTGTTAAATAGATGCCATTACTTAAAAACATTTTGCGCCATCAACTGGATAAGCCTAACTCATCTTTCTTGCCTGCTTCCAGGATTCAAGTAAAGTTAAAGAGAATACGTGAGTATGGTCATCCCAAATGAGGCTGAAGTAACAGCAACCAGCAGGTTCCCAATGGAATATCCTGCCTCCTGGGGTGGTGGATGTTCCATCATTAGAGGTTTTTCAAAAATAGCCTGGATAACCACTTGACTGGGATGGTATAAGATTTCCTGCCTCAAGCGGGGGGTTGGACTAGAAGACCTCTGAGGTCCCTTCCAGGCCTATGATTCTATGTTCTACCTTTTCACTGTGAGGGTCACCAATTCATTACCTGCTGTTGCAGAGACATTTTTGCAACCGCTGCTACGGTCAGCCCTACAAGACAGACTAGCCAAAGAAACTAAAATGATATATAGACAGTCCTTGAGTGATGACCGTAATGGAGCCTACCTATTGTTTGCAAGTTATGGTGGTCATAAAATGGGTCGTTCGTGTGATTTTACCTTTTTTTTGCATAAATTTGAAGCAAATCACTCGGTCATTAAGCAAATCTTAATTGGTGGTCCTTATGCAGACCGATGGCTTGCTATGGATACAGTTTTGCCAAAAATCGTTAAGTGTGTGACAGTCGTAAAACACTACCGTGTGATTTTGAGACGCTGCAAACAGGTGTCAATGTGACCTAGTGCCCCAAGGGCAACAAGTGAGCACAGAGGGATTTTGAATCCGGGTCATAAGTAACTCTGAGGTAAGTCCAACTGGTCTCTTAAGTGACTGGTCACAAGTCAAGGACTACCTGTAGATCAGGGCTATCTTCATTGTAAAGTTTTAGTAACTCCCTCCTGCTCCCCTTCATATTCATGTAGGAACCAGACAGGGCCTGATGGAGGCATTCTCTCAAGTAACGTCCTTGACCAGGGCTCAAGACTCTTATCCAGGGGTCTTCAAACTTGGCCCTTTTATGACTTGTGGACTTCAACTCCCAGAATTCCTCAGCCAGGCACGTGTGCCTGGCTGAGGAATTCTGGGAGTTGAAGTCCACAAGTCATAAAAGGGCCAAGTTTGAAGATCCCTGCTCTTATCTAACTGTTGTCTTGGCGATGGCTCTTCCTCCTGTTCTCCCTCTGCAGCTACCCCTCATGGCAATGCTGGCCAAGAGATTCCCTGTGGTAGAGACTCCAGACTTTTGAAGAATTTACTCCAAATCTGACTGAAAGATAGCCGCAATATGGGAACAACCTTTAACTGACCAGAAGCTTTTAACTAGTGCAGGTTAGGTAGAGGTTTGTTTTCATTAATTCAAACGTAGTTTGGAATACAGTTCAGTGCTGCTATGGTCACTAAATGGAGGGATTTGGCCTCCTAAACCGAAAAGAGGAGCTAGCCGAGGAACAGGCAAGGACCTACCGCCGTGACGATTTATGTTTGCTGCTCTCTTCTTTGTCTCTGTGCCTCCTTTCCCGGTGACGATCTTCACGCTCCCGGCTGCGATCTCTACTCCGGCGGTAGTCACGCTCAAAATCGTAACTGCGTTCCCGGCTATAATAACGGTATCTCTCATCGTCACTAGGAGAGAAGAATGAAGTATAGGCATAAAAACCAAAAAGAACATGTGGACCACTTCTGAGTAACAGAATTGGAAGGGACTTTGGAGGTCTTCTAATCTACCCCCTGCTCAAGCAGGAGACCCTATATCATTTCAGATAAATGACTGTCCAGTCTCTTCTTAAAAGCTTCCAGTGATGGAGCATTCACGGCTTCTGGAGGCAGGTTGTTCCACTGGTTAATTGTTCTCACTGTCAGGAAATTTCTCCTTAGTTCTAGGTTGCTTCTCTCCTTGATTAGTTTCCATCCGTTGCTTCTTGTCCTGCTCTCTGATGCTTTGAAGAATATGTTGACTCCCCTCTTCTTTGTGGCAGTCCCTCAAATATTGGAAGACTGCTATCATTTCACCCCTAGTTCTTCTCTTTGTTAGATTTTACTTTGTTGTTCACCTACAGACAGAATCTTGCCAGACTATCTACATAAATATGAATATACTCCACGGATCAAGACGCCATCTTGATCCTCTTCCTGCCCACCAGACATTTCTGGAGGGGGGGCAGCCCTTCCCTCCTGGGACTCCAGACTACATCCCACCACATCAGAACAGGAATTCGGAGGTTATTCGGTGTTCAAGCTGATTTCTGATCTAGAGTAAGACCATGTGTGGAGCCAACATCTTGATTTTCTGCAGGAGCACAAAAATCTGTGACATGCCTATACAGTACAGGATCTGGCTGGGGGAAGACAGGAATTTCACACTCCGAATTTGAGAATCCAGCAATAGGCATCCCCATTTTTAAAAGGCTAATCCCAGCAAACTATTTGGGAGGTCTAAGGAAGGGATGTGAGCAGCTTGTCTCCCAAAAGCTTCCTCTTCCATATCTACTTTTAAACCCAAATAAATTCTTTTAAAAGCTGAAAAACTGAAAGCCTATCATTATGGCCTCAGGTAGTCTCAATCTGGTTACTCATTTTTTGTCACTGTTCTTTATTCTTAGAATTTCCATTTGTGATATTTAGTGGATTTATAACATTACAGTGTCAAAATAACTTGACTTTGCTGCCAAGAAAAACTGAAGTCTGTACCTGCAATTATACTAAGCTTATCTCTTAGCGGCGATGAAATCTAACTTCCCAGCTCTTTCTACATTAGTTCACACTTTGTCTTACAACATGAAAGGGCTGCGTTCTTGTATGAAATACAAGCCAAGATCTTGGGCGCGCGGAGTGTGGACCAGAAAGAAAGGACAGAAAGAAAAGAATGAATATGGATAGTCCTTGACTTGCAATCATTCATTTAGTGGCCATTCAAAGTTACATTGCAGCAACTGATTCATATTTATGACGGTTGCAGTGTCCCGGGGTCATGTGATCACCTTTCGCAACCCTTTGAAAAGCAAAGTTAATGGGGAAGCCAGATTCATTTAACAACTGCAGTGATTCACTTAATAACTGTGGCAACTGTCTTGCTTAACAACATAAATGTTGGGCTCACTTGTGATTGCACGTCGAGGACTACTTGCATGTTATTGTAATGAGTTAAGTTGTGACTCCAGCATCCGTTGCAAACTTGAATTATGTAGCTGTACAATGACTAGTATTGTGGAAGAACCCACACTCACTTGTTATATTCGCTCGTGGTGGGTGTCCGGTCCCGCTCTCTGTCCCTCTCTCTCCTTGAGCCCGAGTATTCCCAGTGGCTGCTGTCTGAAGCACTGGAGGTCTTGTCAACTGTGGTCACCCAGGGAGTGTGCGAGGTCGAGATGGGCGGGTAGGTGATGAAACCTGAATCTAGAGAGGAAACAGGAGAGCTTTGCATCAGCTGGTTTGGACACTCATAGAGGACATGAGATACATCATCGCTAGCCTGATGGAGCTAGGAAAGTAGAAATAGTATCAGGTTTGTAAGGAAAGAGAAATGTTATCAGTGCGTTAAAACATGGCAAATATATTCAGCTCAAACTCTTATCGGGAATAGGTTCTGTTCATACAGAGCTGGGGTCTCCAAACGTGGCAACTTTAAGAAGCAGGATTGGCTTGCTGGGGAATTCTGGGAGTTGAAGTCCACCAGTCTTAAAGTTGCCAAGTTTGGAGACCCCTGATACAGAGAAGGGCTAATCCTGCTCCTCATTTTAGAAAGCGCCTTTCCACAAGATACGGGGACAGGAAGATGAATATGATCAATGGTGAGCTAGTGAATATGAATATGAGCAATGGTGACCTGATTCCTGACAAATATGTTGAATGTACCCTCCTTCCATTTTTTTTTTAATCCTGCACTGTAATAGGCATGTCACAGATTGTTGTGCTCCTCCAGAAAATTAAGATGTTGACCTTACCTAATGGCCTTACCCTAAATCAGAAATCAGCTTGAACACCTAATAACTTCCCAATTCCTGTTCTGTTGTGGTGGAATGTAGTCTGGAGTCCCAGGAGGGAAGGGCTGCCCCCCTTCCAGAGGGCAAAGGGGCAGTGGAGCTTGGGATGTCTGATAGGCAGGAAGAGGATCCAGATGGCCTCTCGATCCGTGGAGTATATTCATGTTTATGCAGATAGTTGCTTTAGTCTGGCAAGATTCTGTCTGTAGGTGAACAACAAACTAAAGTCTAACAAAGAGAAGCACTAGGGGTGATACGATAGCAGTCTTCCAATATTTGAGGGGCCGCCACAAAGAAGAGGGAGTCAACCTATTCTCCAAAGCACCTGAGGACAGGACAAGAAGGTGATAGATCAAGTGACCTATCAGCAGCAACAGCCTGCACAGCTGTAGCATCAGGCAGTTTCCAAGGATAATCCCAGCTGGGGAAAAAACAAACCAACATAGATTCTCTTTTCTTGAGAAAGAAAGTGCAAAGTGTTAATATCACTTTACAATGCCTTGGTAAGGCCACACTTGGAATACTGCATCCAGTTTTGGTCACCGCGATGTAAAAAAGATGTTGAGTCTCTAGAAAGAATGCAGAGAAGAGCAACAAAGATGATTAGGGTACTGGAGGCTAAAACATATAAGGAACGGCTGCTGGAATTGGGTATGTCTAGTTTAATGAAGAGAAGGACGAGGGGGGACATGATCTTAGGGGTTGCCCCAAAGAAGAGGCAGTCAAGCTATTCTCTAAAGCACTTGAAGGCAGGACAAGAAGCAACGGATGGAAACTAGTCAAGGAGAGAAGCAACCTAGAACTAAGGAGAAACTTCCTGACAGTGAGAACAATTAACCAGTGGAACAACCTGCCTCCAGAAGTGGTGAATGCTCCAACATTGGAAGTTTTTAAGAAGAGACTGCACAGCCATTTGTCCGAAATGATATAGGGTTTCCTGCCTGAGCAGGGGGTTGGACTAGATGACCTCCAAGGTCCCTTCCAACTTTACTATTCATTCATTCATTTCATTTATTCGATTTGTATCCCGCCCTTCTCCCGAGGGACTCAGGGCGGCTCACAACATTTTAAAACAAAAACATGCCCACAATCCCCGCCGAATAAAACCAATTTAAAACCCAAATATGTTAAAGTTGTGAATATTTAAAATTTTCTAAAAATGAACCCGATTTAAAATCCTCCCTAGGCCAGGCCCGCTTGCTGGAAAAGCCATGTCTTGAGGGCGCGGCGGAAAGTAAGGAGATCCGGGATCACCCGGATCTGGGGGGGTAGTTCGTTCCAGAGGGCGGGGGCACCCACAGAGAAGGCCCTCCCCCTGGGGGTCGCCAGCCGACACTGNTGAAGCCTCCGGGTGCTCCTCAAAGGGAGCCCCATGTAGAGAGCATTACAGTAGTCCAGGCGGGAGGTGACGAGAGCATGAGTGACTGTGCGCAAGGCGTCCCGGTCCAGAAAAGGCCGCAACTGGTGGATCAGGCGAACCTGATAGAACGCCCCCCTGGTCACGGCCGACAGATGGTCATCCAGTGCCAGCCGTGAATGCAGGAGGACTCCCAAGTTGCGCGCCCTCTCCGAGGGGGCCAAGGTTTCGCCCCCTATAGTCAGCGATGGCGTCAGCTGACTATGCCGAGGCGCCGGCAACCACAGCCACTCGGTCTTGGAAGGGTTGAGCCTGAGTCTGTTTCTCCCCATCCAGACCCGTACGGCCTCCAGGCAGCGGGCCATCACGTCAAGGGCATTATTATTATTATTATTATTATTGTTGTTGTTGTTGTTGTTGTTATTATTATTATTAAAGAAGCCTATCTAAGTTGAAAGATGACCAAATTGGGATTTCCCAGTTGAAAAATATTTATAGCTACCCGATTCTGTTTTCTCAAGAGATAAGCCTATCTAAGTTTAAAGATAAACCCAGTGGGATTTCATAGGGGTTACTTCTTTGTTTTAAGTGCCTGACCCACTCAGTCAGCTTCTGAGACAGCCATAGATACTGCTGAAAGGATCACATCTCTACACTGCTAGGAGTCACTATAAGGATTGTCCTTGACTCACGACCACTAACGAGCCCAACTTTTCTGTTGCTAAGCGAGACATCTCTCAAGTTTTGTCTCATGTTGTGACCTTTATTGCCACAGTTGCTGAGTGAATCACTGCAATTGTTAACTTAGTAACGCAGTTCTAACATGAACCTGGCTTCCCTATATTGACTTGGCTGGTCAGAAGGTCGCAAAAGGGGATTGCGTGACCCCCGGGGGACGCCGCGACCGTCATAAATGTGAGCCAGTGGCTAAGAGTCCGAATTTTGATCATGTGACCGTGGGAATGATGCAGCGGTCTTTTAAGTGTGAGAAATGGTCAGAAGCCCCTTTTTTCAGTGCCGTTGTAACTTCGAACAGTCACTAAATGAAATTATAGTCTTACTCAACACATCTGTTGGTACACAGCCTTTAGGGATTTGACTTACAGGCCAATAAAAATTTATTGCCTTGGTGCTGTGTGGATGATACCTATCTGAGCCTCTTCATGTAGTCTGCTTATAGACATTTAATGATAAAGTCAGGCTCCCGTGGCTGAGCTTTTAGTGCGACAAACTCTTATTAGCCTTCAGGAGGGACGTGAAAAGCTGGTTCTGTGCAGAGGCATTGAGCTAGGATGGAAATGGATCCAGCAAATTGCCTCCAGAAGTTTGGGATGTGTCAACACTGGAAGTTTTTAAGAAGAGAGTGGACAACTATTTGTCTGAAATAGTATAGGTTTCATGCCTGAGCAGGGGGTTGGACTAGAAGACCTCCAAGGCCCCTTCCAACTCTATTATTCTAAATTAAATGTATAGAGTTGGTGGGAGGCTGTGGTGCTATGATGGGATATATGATAGTATTGGGGAATTTTGTGTGTTATATTTATTCCAATCTTATGGAATGTCGTGAGCTCCGGAGGATTGTCATGTATGTGATAAATGGCAATAAAAGCTTTCTAAACTAAAGAATAAACCACTTTTGGCCAACTTGCACTCTTAAGCCCAGAAGGCTCGGAGGCTACACCAAGCGTAACAGAAGAGTAGCATCCACCACCACTGTACAAGCATCAAGAGGGAAGAATCTTCTTGCCCACTTCAGACACAGCAATCCACTAGAACAGGGGTCCCCAGTCCAGGGACTGGCCCCAGTCCGCAGCCTGTTAGGAACCAGTCCATGCAAGTGAGCAAAGCTTCACCTGGGCACGCACAGATCTAGGTAGTATGTGAAACCATTCCCCCATCTCCACCATCACCACTGCCGCTGGTCCATGGAAAAACCTGTTTTTCTAAAAGCTGGTCCCTGGTGAAAAAAAGTTAGGGGGCTGATGCAAGAACAAGGCTCTCCAGCCTTGGTAACTTTAAGACTTATGGACTTCAACTCCCAGAATTCCTCAGCCAGCCAAGTCTTAAAGTTGCTACGGTTGGAGACCCCTGCACTACAAGCATGAAGACTGAGCTCTCCTTAACACCTTAATTACTAGAACTTGCTTATCCGGAGATGCTTCTTGCTTGTATGTCATCCCTCATTAAGCAAATTAGAATTGGAAGCGGATAGCCAGAGCTTTCCTATCCAGGCAGAAGTTTAATTTCAAGCATCTATTCAAGCACGATGAAACCTTCTTAGAATTTATTGATCAGAATTTTTTTTTTTCTAACATCTAACTAGAATTTGCCTTCTTTTATCTTTAGGCCATTCTTCCGGGTCCTTAACTATAGCGCAATGGAGAAGAGTATTATATATCCCCTATTTTTTTCTTATTCACATGACCAGGTCCTTCAATCTCTGCCCTTGAGTTTTCAGTCCATTGATTCTTCAAGTCTTTCTCTGCAGCTGATCCAGTTTGACTGAATCCTTCTTAAATTTACGGTGTTGAGAAGCAGGCATAGTGACCGAGTGGGGCCAGGTGCAGTTAAAAGAAGATCTGAAAGTTGTTTTCAAGCAAACAGGCTGCCCATTAATCAAATTCCTTCAGAACTGGGCAGAACAAGAGAGGAATGGAAGAACAGGCATCTTCTACTTTACCCCACAGGCCTGACACTAATTTTAAATGAAGGGGAGATGTTTACAATCCCAAGCATTAAAATATTTGACGTCCTCAAAGTTGAAAAGCTGCTAGGATAAGTAGCTGCAACCCTGTCCTAGACCGTTACAACTATGATGAGTAAATCAGTTGTACCTTCCTTATGCCAAAGAGGGAGGAAAATTACACAGCTATAGAAGCTCCACTATCTTGATGTAAAAAGTCCTTTTGTCCTGCAAAACATTTTACTATTGCAGTGATGGACAAATTATTTACTCATTTCCGCCTGACCTTTAAAGAGATGGTTTATCAGTTCCAAATGCCACTTCAGGGTAAAAAATGTCTCAATGTCTCCTTTTGCCACAAATCCTGTTTCAAGATAGATCCTGCTATGGCAAATGTTTCTTTCTTGGAGCCTTTGTCATTCTGTCCTTGACGAGTTCAGCTACTGTATACTACACCGAGCTCACCGAACATTGTAATACGTCTTGATGTCACGATAAGTCGCCATATCTCTGATCCCCACTAAGTCCTTCGGGATGAAGGCCACAAAGCTCTCAGTATGATTTCAAGATACCTCCTTGGGAAATTAGACTTACAGGAGATGATATGATTATCTAGACATATACATCAGTTAGTATAATTAAAGAATCATAGTAGATGTTATTTGACATGGTATGGAATCCTTAGGTTAACTTTTCCTTTTGAGGTAGTCCTCAGTTCAGAAAATTAATCACACAGAATTGCACAGAACTAGGTGTAACCTGCAACTGTTTTTGCACAGAAGTTTCTCCTTTTTCTGCTACCTAAAAGGAATATTAGGGTTTTAGCCCGAATGAAGGGATGTGTATATTTCCACACTTTCCTGATTCAGGTCAGTGATAACAGCTTGCCTAACATTAACACGCATGGACAGTGAAAAGTAAATGGCGATTCCATTGGAATAAAATTTGAGGGAGTGGGGGGGGGTCTTTTTCAGGTCGCAAGAATAAGGCATGGTGTGGAAAAGCAAAAATCCTTGCAAATAAATTCATTGACATGTTGAAGGACGAGATTATTGCTAAGGGTCGAGCGCAGGTATAAATAACATTACAAAACTCCAGTTTAACAACGGTATCCCAAGTGATGCCCTGAGGGAAGAAACAGGCCGGGATCCTGCAGCACTGTAGGATGCTCTACTAACTCTAAGTTTGGCGGCCGATGGCTTCCCAGATCAGCCAATGCAGGACAATCACAGAAGAGTCCAGAGCTGTCCCTCAAGAGCTGAACTGGCCAATCCTTGTGACCCATCACGGGTTGTGCAAAACAACAATCCTGCTGCAAGGCCTCGGAGGGGCTCACCTGTGGAGTTGTAGCCGAAGGGAGGTGGCTGCCGGTTGCTGTAGCTGGCCGGCTGGCTTTGAGGAGAGAGGGAGAGAACACACAAGAAGAGTTAGCAACAATCTAATCCCTATCATTAATTCAGGCTGAAAAATAAAATCACAAAGGAAAAGGATAATCCCATTCCCTCATTGGATTCCCTCTCTGTAAACAACGCTCTCCTTCCTTCATGGCTTCCTGTATTCTTTATCCAATGCCTGGCCAAACATATCTTGGTTAACCGATCCACTGGGACCAACATGGTGGTGAGAAGCACTAAGCAATTCAAATACAGGTAGTCCTCAACATACGAGTACAACTGAGTCCAACGTTTCCATTGCTAAGCAAGTCAGTTGCTAAGTGAGTTTTGCTCCGGTTTACATCATCTATTCTATTATTCTATTCTATTCTATTCTATTCTATTCTATTCTATTCTATTCTATTCTATTCTATTCTATTCTATTCTATTGTTATTTTAATTCTATTCTATTCTTATTTTAATTATATTCTGTTCTATTCTTATTTTAATTATATTCTGTTCTATTCTTATTTTAATTCTATTCTATTCTATTCTATTCTTATTTAAATTCTATTCTGTTCTGTTCTATTATACTCTACCTTATTTTAATTCTATTCTATTCTTATTTTAATTCTATTCTATTCTATTCTTATTTTAATTCTATTCTTATTTTAATTCTATTATGTTCTGTTCTGTTCTGTTCTACTCTATCTATTCTACTCTACTCTACTCTATCTATTCTACTCTACTCTATTCTACTCTACTCTATTCTATTTATTCTACTCTACTCTAGGTACTACTCTATTTATTCTACTCTAGGTAATATACAGAATGACAAGAACTATTTAAGCAAAGTATGAAAAGAGAGTCATGAAAAGGATCAGGGTTAGGGCTACATTTAGGGTTAACCCTAACCCTTTATTGAAAAGACATGCATAAAAATAAAAGACAAAATGCAAAATAAAGGACAGAACTTTCTTACTGGAAACAAAAAAAACAACCCAAGAGAAAATGACCAGTATTGACCTACTTGTTACAACAAGGAAGGCTAGAATGGCATTTTAGCGGGAGTATTTTATACTTTGCCTGTTTGCCTTTTGGCGTTGCATATAATACCTAAGAAATGTGTGAAATATGAAGCGTTTCATACTTTGGTGCCCCATTTTTGGCATCCTATAGATTTCCTAAGGATTGCATAAAATGCCTAATTTCACACACTGATGGTTAACAGTGAACTGAACATGTGACCTGCTGGGTCATCATTTCAGAGAGATTTCCTTACCAGATCCCTCAATGCTTTCCATAACGGCAGAGCTTCTAAAGGAACTGGAAGAGTTCTTAAAAAATTCAGGGACCTATCCTGAGACATATCTCGAAAGGAGCCCACGACGAACTCTACAGCACAGTCAAAACATCGGCAGCAGAACACAGGGAATGGGTTACGGCATTTTGTATTATGCCACACAAAATGCTTTATGGTAATTTTGTATGTCATAAAGTGTTTTATAAAAATTGCCAAATTTCAACTCCTCAGGAGTCATGGATCCTGGATAGGGGAGCCTTCTGCAAGTTAGCTCGTTCAAGGTACTTTAGCTGAAAAGGTTTTGTTCTGTGGTGCCCTGTTTCACCCAGTTAAAGGTTATCCAAGGGAGAGTTTTAGTAGTATCCAGATTCAAAAACTGAGCGAATGGCAAGAACCAGCAGCCATGGTGCCCATCTAATTCTCACTTACCCATCCAGAGTTGGAATCAAGAGAGCTGGTGGTGGAGCAAGTGGGGGAGGAAACAGCCCTGTTAATAAAACAATCAGTGATAATTGTTAGAAGACATGATGGCCACTGTATGTGTGGCAAGCCCTTTCTCTTTGGGGACCACTGAAAAAGATTCCCATCTTTTCCTTTGTGTCTTATTCCAGTAATTGAATCACTTAACACAGGGGTCCCCAACCTTGGCAACTTTAAGACTTGTGGACTTCAACTCCCAGAATTCCTCAGCCAGCTTTGCTGGCTGAGCAATTCTGGGAGTTGAAGTCCACAAGTCTTAAAGTTGCCAAGGTTGAGGACCCCTGTTGTAGGGGATTTAGCTTTGCTGGCTGAGCAATTCTGGGAGTTGAAGTCCACAAGTCTTAAAGTTGCCAAGGTTGAGGACCCCTGTTGTAGGGGATTTAGCTTTGCTGGCTGAGGAATTCTGGGAGTTGAAGTCCAGAAGTCTTAAAGTTGCCAAGGTTGGGGACCCCTGACTTAACACACCCATGTCCAGGCGCCAGAAGTCAGCACGTTGCACCTTCCTCCAGTTCCCTCAACTGATAACGCTAAATGGGATAAGCCTAAGAGAAGCAGGACACCTGGATCTGGTGGCCAGGGGTGGTGCCTTCATTGGGATGTCACCTGCAGCATTTGACTGATCCACGTAAAACAAATCAGATCGAATCAGAGTAGGTCAGGAACATCTGAGGAACAACTTCATTTTGGTGGCTTCAGCGAAGAATTGGCCAGGACCACGGACAGGGGGTCCTAGACCAATGGACATAATTGAGCCCCAAATTTCTGTTGCTCAGTGAGACATTTCTTAAGTGAGTTTTGCCCTATTTTACGGCCTTTCTTGCCACAGTTGTTAAGTGAATCACTGCAGTTGTTAAGTTACTAACACGGTTGTTAAGTGAATCTGGATTCCCTGTTGACTTCGGTTGTCAAAAGATCGCAAAAGGGGATCATGTGACCCCCGGGACACGGCAACCGTCATAAATCTGAGTCAGTTGCCAAGTGCCTGGATTTTGATCACGTGACTGTGGGGATGCTGCAATGGTCGTAAGTGTGAAAAATGGTCATAAGTCACTTTTTTGGTGCTGTTGTAACTTTCAATGGTCACTAAATGAACTGTTGCAAGTTGAGGACTGCCCGGGCAGATTCTGGAAGGGCTTGGCTGCCTCAAATGAGAAAAATATGGCAAAAGACCACGCCTTAAAAAAGCAGGAAAGGCTTGATCTGCCATTGGCTCCAACCCACCAAATCTCAATACTGCTGACTCCGCAATCTCCAGATCCTGAGTAGCTCAGACTGGGACAAATTGTTCTCCCGTGCTTTTCTAGGAAAGAGTCTTTACTTCCAAGAAACTAATGATGGTTATCCTACACACTGTATATGTGCATACATGCAGAAGAACTACACACGTCCCCTTTACCACCCAGTTTAAAAGTAGCTAAGATAAAGATCACAAAGACGTGTGTGTGTGTGTGAATCTAAATCAAAATGGGAACCTTTTGAAAAAGTCACTCTGATGCTTACAGGGGGATGCGCCTTACAATGTTAAGAGAAATGTCCCTTGTTTCTTTAGATAATCTCAGAAAGGCTAAGGAGGAACTGACCTTAGTCCTTGGGTGGGAGACCACCAGGTAATATTAGGGATGTGAGCTAGCCAGAGAAATACAAGCAATAAGACATGGGAGGAGACCACATCAAACCACTTCTTGGTGGATGACAGAAATGGCCATGGAGACCCAGGAGTTGAGCTTGAGTTGAACGAGAACTTCTCTTTTAACCCCAATCTAAGCAATCCATGGACAAAGCTGCCTATTGCACAGTATCCTGTTCTGGACTGGCCTCTTTCCAATCTTCTCTGCAGAAACAGAGTTCTCCTCAGGAGTAAATCATTCTTCTTACGCAATTTAAAAGCAAAAGCGTCTCCAGTTTTAATTCCAAGGCAATTCTCCTGCAAATGTCTGCCAGAACTGATTCCTGGCTCAATTCATCGTATATTTAAAGACCAAGATGGTTTTGTGTCCTGATTCTGCACCTACCTGGAGGGTGGAGGGGTGGTGGGACGGAGGCAACTGGCGGCAGAGGAGGATGGAGAAAGTGGGGCGGAGGCCCACTTAATGCTGGCGGTGGGCCTGCCGGGGGCACAAATGGCTGCTGCTGGGGGGGCTGAGCAGGCTGAGGTTTGCTCCCATGGTCTCCAAGTACCTTTCGAAAGAGAGCCCAGAAGAACAATCAGGTTAGATTTAAAGAAAAAAGAAAGAAAGAATCAGAGTCAAAGCAAGTCCCAAAACAGGAAATGCACCTGGCTACCTCGTGCTGCAACACCATGGGAATGCAGAAGAATGGAAGGTCCTGGAGGTTGAATGCAACTGAACTTCAAAAGAAACCCAACTGAATCAAGTCAACCCTTGAAGGACACTTGAAATGCCAAGGTTGAGGACCCCTGCTCTAGACTAGACATTCTTAGCTTCCTCAACCATTCATCGTACAATTTAGCCTCCAGACACCTCATCCTCTTTGTTGCTCTTCTCTGCACACTTTCTATGGTCTCAACATATGTTCTGTATTTTGGTGACCAGAACTGGACGCATTGTTCCAAGGGTGGTCCTACCTCAATCCGAAACGTCCAATCTGGATTGAAAGTTAAGAGCGTGCAAGGTCTGAAATCCACTTTTCAGTTCTTACCTGAATGGGGTTTTCTTCAGAAGCGTGTTTGTCGCGCCGCCTTCCTTCCACCCTCCGGATGGTGCCAGCCTGACCACCAATCACGTCGATTGTCCCACCCAGCTTCCTGTTTCCAAAAGAAGACCCGTTCAGCACCAGCAGCTGATCTTGATCACATTGTCCTTCCTGTAACACAGCTCACCATTGGACTAATGGATGCTATAACACACTCAGCTCCCATGTTGTGACAACTGCACACGGCACACCATCCACCAGTAGACTCTTATAATTTGAGAATGACTTTAAGTTCCAATGCACTAACCACCACATTTCTTTTGTACAACACTGTGGGCGTTTGCTTTCCAATTGCCGGGATAAAGCTCAGTAAAGCAGAATTTACTATCAAAAGACCCATCAAAGGCTTTTGGGGACATTATTATACGTTTTGCTAGAGACAGGAGTGTTACAATACTTTATCTAGCAGTAAACTGATTATGAACAAGTTCATAAGGTTCCGAGGACTTAGTGCAGAGCTGTGCAACATGGTATCTTGGATTTGCACCCAATGCCAACCGCCATACCACAAAGCTTTCTTGGTGCCCACCAGCCTCCTCCTCCTTCCTTAGTTTTTAAAAAATAAAAATAAATCTATTTTTTTCCAATGCCTCTGGGCCTCCTAAAGATCTGCATTCATCTATGGGGCCATTTCTGTTCTGATTAATGGTATTTTAGAACCAGCCATACGTACTGTGGGTGGCATTTAGGGATTAGGTGTCTCCTCTGGGACCCATTTCCACTCTCCTGGACCTGCATTCAAACTTTCACATGGTCACCATCTCCAAAGCTGCCTATCCTTGCTTTAGAGCAGGGTTTGTCAACCTTGACAAGTTTAAGATGCGTAGGCTTCAACTCCCACAATTCCCCTGCCAGAAATTCTGAGAGTTGCAGTTCACGCATCTTAAAGTTGCTAAGGTTGACAAACCCTGCTTTAGAACCTTAACTATCTACAAGGCTCCAGGGAATGAACGATATTTAATAATAATAATAATAATAATAATAATAATAATAATAATAATAATAATAATAATAATAATAATAATAATAATAATAATAATAATAATATATTGATCAAACTGGTTTTATATCTGGGAGGTACATGAAGAATAATATCAGGCAAATTGTAAATCTACTGGAATATTTGGACAAGAATAATCAAATACCCTCGGCCTTTATCTTTCTTGATGCGGAGAAGGCTTTTGACAAACTGGAATGGCAGTTTTTAAATAAATTGCTGGATTATATGAACTTTGGAGACCAATTTAAAACAGCTATAAAGGCGATATATCAAAAACAGACTGCTCAGATAATTATAAATGGAGATTTGACAGAGCCTATAGACATACAAAAAGGTACTAGACAAGGTTGTCCACTCTCTCCTTTACTATTTGTATTGTCATTAGATATTCTACTATCCAGAATTAGAGATTCTACAATGATTAAAGGCTTAAGAATTTCTGCTAAAGAATATAAACTTAAAGCTTTTGCGGATGATTTAGTTTTTACATTGTCTCAACCAATTGAGTCACTGGAAACTTTGTTGCAAGTGCTGCATCAATATGGCAAGGTGGCTGGATTTAGAACTAATGTTCAGAAGACTAAAA